TCTCTCTTTTGTACTTTGCTTTCGCATCCTTGATGGCTCTTTTCAGGTTGGCTCTGGCTGTACTATAGAGGGCTTTATCTCCAGACTTGAAGGCAGCATTACGTTCTTTTAGGAGGGCCCTGACGTCTCTATTCATCCAAGGCTTCTGGTTGGGGTAGACCCGGATGCATTTGTTGACAGTAAAGTTATCGACACAGTTCTTTATATAGCAGAGTACCATTGTTGTATACACTTCCAGATCCTGGTTCTCGAAGACCTCCCAATTGGTTCTTTCAAAGCAGTCTTGGAGCTGAGTAGAGGCTCCTTCTGGCCATTTTTTCACCATCTTTGTAGTGGTGGGAGCTTTTCTTCTTAAAGGGGTATATGCCGGGATTAAGAACACAGAAAGGTGGTCTGACTGTCCCAAATGAGGTAATGGAATTGATCTATAGCCTTTCTTGACATTTGAGTAGGCCTTGTCCAAGGTGTTTTCCCCCCTTGTAGCACATTTGATGTGTTGATGAAATTTGGGAAGAACCCGTTTTAAATCAGCATGGTTGAAATCCCCTGCGATGATGTGAACTACATCAGGATGGGCAGACTGATTGTAGTTTATGGTGTGCAGCAAGTAGCTTTGAGCTGTGTTGGCATTAACATCTGGTGGAATGTAAACAGCTGTAACTATAACAATGGTAAACTCACGAGGCAGATAGAAGGGCTTGCATTTAACAGTTAAGTACTCCAAATCGGGAGAACAGTGACTACCTATGATGTTGGCATTGGTGCACCAGTCGTTATTTATATAGATGCAGAGCCCACCGCCCTTGGTCTTCCCGGAATCTTTGTTTCTGTCCCAGCGAAATGCTGTCCGTCCAGCTAACTCCATAGCGGCGTCAGGTATGCGTGGGTTCAGTCACGTCTCTGTTATCAAAATAATGCAGCAGTCCTTAATGATGTTGTTCATAGCGATTTGCAGTTGTAATTCGTCCCTTTTATTAGCGAGTGATCTGGCATTTGTAAGAAATACACTCGGAAGAGGTGGTTTGTGTGGTTGTTCCTTTAGCCGAACTAGTAGGCCCGACCGGCATCCACGCTTTTGCTTCCTGTGTCTCCTCCGCCTTCGTCGCCTGCTAAGGCCGATAACAGTCCATGGAGAGCCCGGTGTCCTGGCTATCTCCTCCGGTATATTGTGTAACTCCAGAAATTCGCTTGTAACTTCTTGATTACATCGAAAACCTATGTTTAAGATATCTAAGTGACTGTAACTGTGATTCGCCAGACTGATTTTAACAGTTATGAGTTAAAAAGCACTAAACTGGAGAGCGTGAAGCCGCTGCGTCTATGCGCGCCGCCATTTTTGTAAAAAGATATATTTACTGTTCAACTGATAGTTACTTTAAGTGTATGGAGCTTCACATGAATTATGGACAAAAAAACTGCACTTTTTGAGATTAAAGTCAATGTTTAGTATTCCTCAGTGTTTTCCTTATGTACATGACTCACTGCACAGCATGCGGCATTGGTGGTCCATCGACCAGCTTGAGAGTCTGTCTCACGCAGCTGAGACGATGCGGGTGAGAAACAAAGCATTGCCAAATTCATGCTGCCTGCAATTACAAGAATGGTGCCAAAAACAGAGGCACTTTTAATTCATTTTAGAGCATTTCAGGAGTGAATTAAGCATTTTAGATTTACATTTGCGTAATTTGTTACATATAACTTACTATATAAAGATAATGCAGATATGCTAACACTTTCCTTATTTTCCTCTTGCTGTTGCTGTATAGAGGATAAGCTTAACTGACATGACATGATCCAAGTCTAAAATGTACAGTGAACGTAGAGCGACTGTGTTGTGTAAACAAGGATTATACAGTATGCTTATGTTTAACATTTATTTTAAGAATGTTTGTTAAGCAGCAGTTCTTTAACAGTGGTAGAATTACTAATTTACTAGCTGGTGTAGCTGCTACTGTCTTGTGTTGATGATGGTTACATACATTTTTTAAGTGATGGCTCTGGCTAGTATGAGCATATCTTACAGTGTTGCTCAGCTGGTTCATCTGCTGTTCATTGTTTTTTTGTTTTTTGTTTTTTGTTATTGCTGTTCATGAAATGTTCACTGGAAGACAAAGAAAAAGAGGAGCATAATGAAGAGTGCAAAGGATGGTAATTATAATGCAGTTCTGGAAAGGGAAGGAGTGTGTACTGGGTTATTGAGGGCATGCATGTTATTGTGTGTCAGAAGGAGGATGACAATTATGTTAATGTACAGTTACATTCATATTGTAAGATTTACAGCACAAAAAACCCCCCCGGATGCTAAGAAAAACAGCAGATGAAGAAGCGACCATACAAACACATATACGCCATGACTCATACCCTCCAATTTATGTCTATGAAATCGGATCAGAATATGTATGGTATTGTACATTAATTTCTTTTTTTTTTCTGAATTCACTCAGTAAAGCTTATGTTCAGTGATCTCTGACTCACAACCATGACTGCACTCAGCAGCCTCCACCCTCCACACTGCGGCTGAGAGCGTGTCACAACAGCAAAGTTTCAGGCTTGATTCTCACAGAGTGTGTTTGAAAGAAAGACAGGGAAACTTCAGTTACACCTTCTAAAGAAAACGACGCTTCCTTCGAAGAGACACCTCTTCTCTGTTTTTATGCTTGTCATGCGGTTATCTACAGCAGACAAAATAGCAGACAAAAAAAGAATAAGGCTTGAGAAAAAGAGAGAAAGGGAGTTGTTTAAAGGTATATATTTAATCAGAAGCTTGGTTTGGAGGGATCTGGGTTTCGGTTCTGGTTTGGATCAAATCTTGACTGCAGCTTTACAGTGTGACTAGATGGAGATATAGATCAGCAAAGCGTTACAACCACACCAGTCATGATGACTCACATACACTCATATCACACTCTCACATGCGTACATAGATGCTCTTATCTGCTCCTATCAAAGCATCAAATATAAAATAAAAATGTGTTTCATTAGTTTATGTTCTATTGAACATATCCATGTCTCTGTTGCTATGTGCATCTGTTTGTGTATTACAGTGTGTGTGTCCAGTCTGGTCATATTTGTGCATGAATGTGTACTACTTATGTCTATAAGTGTGCATGTGTGTGACTGTGTGTGTGTGTGTGGGGGGGGGGTTATGTTTTTAGATGATATTCAAACACTGTTCACTAGAATAGAACAAGTTCTTCTTGTTAATCTCTGATTATAAATGTACATTGGTCGAAATCATAGGGTTCTCTTGCTCATTGTGAGTTTGTGTGTGCATATTTTTTGTGTATGATTGTGTACGTGTTGGGGTGTGAGTGAGCTTTTGATATCTCTGTTAATAATCAGATGTGTGTGCAATCATCATTTCAACACTCAACCAGCTAAAGTTGTGGCCCATCTCTTAAAGGGGAAGTTATAATATTCAGTTTGTCTTAAAGGAGAAGTTGGGTTTGTTACTTCATGACTTGTGTCTTAAGCAAGTGTTATCATCAGCCTCTTCTGCACGACTTTCTTAGTGTAAAGCTGCACTTCATTTATACAGCAGAATGAATGAATTTGTCATTTATGCAGTTTGAGTGCTTTCCACCCTGCATGAGTTCTGGTGAAGAAGTTCAAGCTCTTGATTCTCAAACTTTAGCTCTGGCAATTCTTCCAGCCCTAGCACCCTTACAAAGAAATATTTTTCAAAGACACCTACACAAGCACACAGAACAGAGAAAAAGAGTATTAAACTGTGTTCTTTCAATTCTTAAATGGAATGAAAAAGTGATTGGCACACAATGGTTTTTCCTTATTACTCCAATTTTCACTCTGCGCGTAAACTCCTTTATGCCTGTGTTTTAATATTTTTTCAAAGTATGTTTACATTTTGATATCAAAACAGAGAAAGAAAATGTTTGATGTTTCATAACTATCAGTGCATTGACATGTAAAAACACTTAATGAATTTTGAAAAGGAGAGGTCAATCCTCATGTGCTGGCAGATGCTGTTTGATATATTTGTTTAATGTAATAAAATGTACATATTTACAGTGTCATTTAAATGTACAAGTACTACTGTACTTTGGGTCACTCTAATGCAATAACAGACGATATCTTCATGAATTATGTCTTCAAATTCATCCAAGGCAAATAAATAAGATCTTACTAGGTAAATACATAGCAAATTAAATAAAATAGACATTTAAGGGTATATTTGAGCTTTGTCTGTGTACAAGTGCTAATAAAATGCTGTATCTTGTAAGGGAAGAAGTTAGAAGATGGATGCAATCTGATCAAACTTCTTGTGTGACTCAGACCTTTGTCACAACTCTGTCGCACCGGTGGGCAGAGCTTCATCTGCAAGTATTATGGCCCATGAATTAAAACTTTCTAAAGCTTTTTGAAAAGGTTGTTCTGTTATTTTCTTTGCCTTTCATCTTAATTTAGTTGTTGCTTGATAGATTACAGATCAAAAGCTGGCCAATTTAGCTTCTATTTGCTGGTATTTGCAGTTGTAATTCGTCCCTTTTATTAGCGAGTGATCTGGCATTTGTAAGAAATACACTCGGAAGAGGTGGTTTGTGTGGTTGTTCCTTTAGCTTCTATTTGCTGGTATTTTTTCACCAAGTAGGTCATGAACCGCGAAACTGCATTTGAGATGTGGCCATTAGTTCTGCAATGAATGTTCAGCGTGAAGCTGGACTGTTAAAACATTCATCATGGCCTGTTTCAAAGCAGCGTTTACTGAAATATTGAATTGCTGCTGATTGCAAAGCTGAACTTGATTTTAATCGTTTCTGTAGTGACAATAACATCCAGTGGGGGGCCTTGGAACTTGAACCTACATGTCCATATTTAGAGAGAGAGTGAGACAGAAAGAATGTGTGTGAGGGAAACGGGACAGAGAGAAAAGACAAACAGGGAAAGAAATGAGAAAGCCTTGCCAAGGAGGGAGGGTGAAATGAAGAGGACAGTAATGAAAATTAAAGAGAAAAGAAAAAGTTGTGGGGGGACGGGAGATGGGTTGGGTGGGTAAAGTTCCTCAAACCAAGATCCAGACAACTTCTCATCAGGGTGATAATATTAAACCCCTTTATGATTGAAAAAAAAACATATTCTCAAAGACAATCCGATATAATTTCCTTTGTGGAAATTTATATATATATATTTTTTGTTTTCTGTGAATGAGAAGATTTAGGGAAGCCTTGCCGAGGATGATTGAGGGATATGGATGAAAATGAGTCCACATCAGAAGGTCTCAAACGGCACTGACCTTCAATCTACCAGAAGTGGACCGGTGACCAGGCCTGTGGATGAAAAGGTGAATTTATTGTGTGTGTGTGTGTGTGTGTGTGTGTGTGTAAGTTCAGCAACTGATTTACGTAAGGTGTCCTTGATTGGACCTCAAACTGAGAGAAGGTGCGCAGTACTTGAGACATTTTCATAAACATGCTTAGTAATAGTTCATGCTTTTAGCTCATATTTAATATTGTCTGCTGAAATTCACACCACTGGTGGTGAGTGGTGTCCAGATATGAAAGCCTCTACACAAATTAAATATAGCCTCTATTCTGGCTCTTGGAAGTAATTGCTGCATATTGCAGAGTGAAGTTTTTCTAATAGGCTGCCCAGTAACTTATGAGTAGTAACTCAGCAAAGATTATCACAATTCACTCTGAAAATAAATTCCAGTCTGTTATTAATAGTATTTTTGACCCAGTAATGGGATTCATTTGGTGAAAGCTGTTCATAGAGGTTTTAATAAGTTGTGGAGGTCAGAGGAATGATGCTGAAGGTATATATATATATATATATATATATATATATATATATATAAGTGCCTGTTTGTGTGTGGTATTTACTGTGGCTATTTACTGGGGGTTCTTTTTTATTTGATGAAATAAAATGAAATTGAAAGGCCAGTTAATGTAGTCAGGTTGAGTGGAGGAGGAAGAGGAGGATGATGAAGTAGCAGGACAAAATGAAGATGCCCTCTAGATTACAATGTGTAAAGTCAGATGGTGTTTATGAGAGGAAGTGCATGGCTGGCTTTGATGGCTACACACACACACACACACACACACACACACACACACGATACATGCCTTTCTCGGTATTGCAGTATATTTCCATCAAATACTAAATGGATTCCACTTTAGCCCAGGTGCATAATTACATAACTCTGTGAGCATAATATCTGGATTTTCTGGACAAAGACATTTTGATCTATGAGTGAAAGAAATTGGATTTATTTTTCTAAAGTGGTATTAATATAATTTTTGAATGTTTTCTAAATGGTGTTGTTGGTTAGGTTGGAGGTTACTCCTATTCTTACTTTGAAAGCGGTTTCACAGAACAGAATCCTGTTTGGATGGTTTGTTCTGTGAATGATTTTTTTTTTCATTCAGACCCATCCTGATATTACGTGTATATGTTGCCCAGGCATCTACTTGATGTGTTTTGCGATGTGATGTTTTTTCTTTTAAGAGCATCTGCTCATCTGCAGTGTGTCTCCACACGTTCCCTGCCACAACTAGAATGCAGTGCTTTCCAGATCTTTAACAGATGTCTTTGTGATATGTATGTGTGCTTACTGGGCTATCATATATGATGTAGACTCAACACGTTTATATTAACAAAATATGAAATAGGAAGCCTAGGAAATCTTTTCTTACAGAAAATTATATGAGCTAATATTATGCTGGGCCCTGTGTAATATAATATTATTTGATTCATTGTGGAAATCTTCATTGTGTCAGGATTATGGAGCTATTTTGCCCCTGTCTCTGTTTCAGTGTTCCCTTATTTGGTCATGTTCCTGTTCTCGTTGTCTCATTATTAGTTGATTCCCTGCACCTCTCTGTCCCTCGTTAAGTTTAGTATAAATGTGTAATTTGCCTCAGGTTTCCTTGTCGGGTCTTGAACGTCTTCTTTGTGCTCTGTGTCTCCCTGTTGGATTATTAAAGACACGTCTCCTCATCTCCTCGTTCCTCCTGTAAGCAAAGTGTGACAGAAGACCTGACCGAAACAGTTACATCCGTGTCTACCCTCCGTTTTTGTTTCCGTTTTTTTTCCCTCAGTGTTTTGTTTCCGTTGTGTTAGCCATGGATCCCCTCACCCATCCGGGGGAACCTCCTCCTCCTGCTGGAGCAGGGGGAGAGATCGCTCGAGGGCCGTACTAGACTGTTCCTGGTCCTCGCTGCTCTAACCAGCTAGCCGAACGACGCGCTCTGTGCGTTCTACGACGCCAGTTTAAACATCTCGTGCAGAGCGCTGTCGTCCGAAGATGGTCCTCGAGCGAACTTTGCCACCTTTGTGGAGTGGACACACTCCTGACCCAGTGCCCAGCCCACCATCTCCCCGCTGTGCGGAGCGCATGCCCGAGTCCACCGCTGATGGAGACCCGGAGCCCGACGAGCCATCGCCGCACGGAGCGACAGAGCTGAGGATCCCCGCGGAGCCAGAGCTGCTGATGACGTCAGTCAAGGTGTGTGAGCCAGCAACAACGCCCACCACGAGGGAGAAAGCCTTGGACGGTGTGAGCGTGGAGAGGAGCTCCGCCCCCTGCACCGCGGCTGAGGGTGAGCTGTGTATGGCGCGGTGACTGTGCAACACCGAAGAGGAGAGGGCTCCCGTTCCTGAGTTCTGGCCTGAAAGTTCGGAGGCTCACAAATTCCCGCCCTCCCACCCGCTCCTGCCTCCTCCTCCGCTGTTGTCTGGCAGCCCCTCTGCTCGCCCTCAGCCCACCATCTATGTGGTGCGAGCTCTGCGGGACTGCCATCCTCCAGCGTCGCCGTGGTTGGAGTATCCCTTGACTCCACCTCCAGCCTCTGGGCTCCAGACTCCGCCTCGGCCCGTTGACCCGTCGGCTCCACCATGGCTCCTAGCTCCCTCCACTCTGCCGTGGCCCGGCAGTGCACTAGCTCCGCCGGGCTCCCTCGTTCCTCCGGCTCCGCCTTGGTCTGGCGTCGACCATTCTGCGCCTCGGGATGCCACTCCTCCTGGCCTTTGTCCCTCTGGCTCCGTCAGGCTCCTTCATCCCCTCGGCGCCTCCTCAGTCCTCTGTCACTCCGGCTCCACCGTGGGCTCCCGGATCCACGCCTTTGCATCAGTCGCTAGCACCATCTGCTCCGCATAGGACCTCCGGATCCTCACCGTCGCCCTGGTTCATCAGTCGGCAGCAATTCCTCCTCCATGGCTCCTCCCTCCATTGGCTCCACTGAGGGCCGCCGTTATGGCTGTGGCCCCTTCCCCCCCCCCCCCCCCCTCTGTTCTACGGCTCGAGGACTCGCCTTCCGGGGGGCGATATGTCAGGATTATGGACCTGTTTTGCTTCTGTCTGTCCCTCGTTAAGTTTAGTATAAATGTGTAATCTGCCTCATGTTTTCTTGTCGGGTCTTGAATGTCTTCCTTGTGCTCTGTATCTCCCTGTTGGATTATTAAAGACTCTCGTTTTGTGAAATTTCCACGTCTCCTCGTTCCTCCCGCGAGCAAAGTGACACATTGATTCTATTAGGATCCTTTTGGATGTGTTCAAAATGATGAAAGAATTTCTATTGGCAATTCAGAATGGAATATTTTAATGTGCCCACCAGAATAATAGACTAATATTGTGCAGTTTTTTTCCCCCTGTGATTTAAAAATAAATAAACAAAGAATTACAAGCCCTTACCACATCTCCTTTTTGAAAGGTCAGTGAAGCGTTCATACCAAATGTCATAGGAAGAAGGAAGATTATCTGAAAGGCGTGGATAGTTTCTTCTCTCACTGCACAGATGGTTGCAATAATTACTAAAATTCATATTTGTTTTAGTTTTCTCTTCATTCATTAATACTTTTATTGCTGCTGAAATATGTGAGTTTGATGATTGTATGATGTGTATAACTGGTGTGTGTTTTTAATTTGTAGAAAATGAAGTCCACAATTCCAAGAAGAAAAAATGCTGTTATTAAAGCTTTCAGCAAAACCAGACAAAGGTACGTGCAAACACACACATATACTGGCTTGAGTTATTTTTGTATTGGGCGCTTTGAATTGATTTTGAATGCAAAATCTTTCAAAAAATTAAATAGAAATGTAAATGTAATATTCTTTTATTTTCTCATTTCCACACACACACACACACACACACACCTCATTATTATCTTTCCCTGTGCCACTGGTTCCTCCTTCACCATTTAATTGATTCCAAGCGTAAAATCAAAATGCCTCTTTTGGCCCTCTGTTCCTCACTGAATGACTCTATATGTGTGTCAGAGCTCCGCTGAATCAAACATAATCACTTGCTTGATTGCAGGGCTCTTTCAAACAGAACTTTATATCACGAAGTTCACAGAGTCAAATATATTTCAGACTTTGTGGAAACTGGCTACATGTCTAACCTTTAAAGCCTCGTATTTTAAAATGACTAATAATATTTTTTTTTGATAAGTCTAGTGCTGTGTGTCTTTGGACTTGTCTGGTCAATACAATTCAAGGAACAATTCTGTCTAAAGCATATCTTGAGTTGTCTGTTTTCTCTCTCTCTCTCTCTCTCTCCCTCCCTTTATTGCAAAAACAATTTTATTGCTAAAATAATAGAGCTGTTGGCAGAGAATATATTACTGGTACATTTATTTTGGCAAATTGGCAAATAGTTTTTTCATGTTTTAAGAATAAATCTGACAAAATCTAGTGAGGTTTATTCCAAATAAGTCTTATTATCTTAACACAAATTTGTTTCTAAAGTAAATGTATTTTTTTGTGAAGAATATGCAGATATATTTGTGGAAGCCAAGACAAAAATACTTAAAGGAAATATATTTTTTTGTATTCACACTGTCAAGCACGCTCGCACACAAACACACTCACACACTCACACTGCCTGCTTATATCTGACCAATCCCTTGGTATTTGCTAGAGGACACACTCTGCCTTATATAGGCAGGAATGCAACAACAGACACACACGTAACAAGAAAGCTGGCAACGTGCGTCATTCACATTACAAGCAAGAAGAGAGAGAGAGAGGCAAGATGCCAAGACAAAATGATCACTAAATACAACAGAAAAAAAATCTATTTATTTTGATCTACTTATTTGTATCTAGTGTCAGAAATCTATTAGCTTGAAATCCGACTTCTCTGGAAAAACATAGATAAATTAGAAATATTTATAGCCTGTTCATACCAATGTAGTCTTATGTAAAATTGACTTATTGTTTTCTTCACTAATGTAATATTCAGTTCGTTGTCGTGGCAATGAAGTACACAGGTTTTATGAAGATACTTCAACCTTCAGTGAAAATTGTTTATTTTTGCTCAACATCAAAAACATTACTGAATGTGCTTATGTGCTCAGAATATTTCAGCTTTTCTGCACCAAGTAAACCTTGGCTCATGCAAACCTTTCACAGACCTTTTTGAGCTGTTTAGAATGGAGACATTCCATCTACAAAGTATTCCAATATTTGTGATTATCAAGGAATGTATAAAACATGCAAACATTATTATTAAGATTCAGTAGTTTGTTTTATCCCAGTCCATGCGAAATGCAGTAGATCAAGCTGTGCACCCCTTGCCAACATGCTAGAATATGTATCTTCTATACAAGGGCATACTGAATAAAGCAATTTTACATTAACAAATGGCGTGTTTTATGTAATATCATCTAAACTTGTATTTAGGTGAAAAAAAAACTGATTTCCTTAATTTTCACTGTATTTCTATTACATACAGGGAAATGTATGTATATTACACAACACCAGATTTGAAATCAGGAAAATCATGACGTCATGATTTCCATTGACACACCCCTTAACCTGTGTCATTGTCGTATGTAATCAAGGAGGCGTGTTCTATGACAAGAATGACTGCTGTTTAAAATAACTTTGCAAACTTTATAATCTAACCTTGAGAAACATAATATAACAATCTGTAACTGCACTTCATGAGCATCATGACCTGTGATCAGAATATGTAAGGGCTCATGTACAGACGTTCTTTGATGCAAAGTGCTTTACTGCTGTTTATGCGTTAGTGAATCAAGCCAGTGACTAAACTTCACACTGTTCCTTTTAGTAGCGTGAAAAACCATCTGCTCTCTATATTGTGATTATTTCATATACAGAAAGCGAGCAAAGATTGCTCTCTTTATAATTGGTGGAGACGTCAATTCAAGATCTGTTTGAGTCTGTTAGTGATTTCTGCATTTTTGCCAAAATTATATAATCACTGATCAACGGGTCTCTTATTTTCATTGTGTTTTCACTGTGTTAGTTATGATGAAAGTATTCCTGAAATTGCAGAAATCGATCATTGCATCGTTTGCTCAGTAGACACGACTGTGCTCGGCTGCAGTGCAGTGCTGCAAACATTTATGCAGTTTAAATAAAATGCTATAATCAACGTTTTTCACATTTAGTAAATCTTGGCGGGTGTTATTGTAAAAACGCAGTGAAACTTTTCCAGAGAGTTCCACGTGTAATGCTTATTTCATATGCAAAGATGTTAACCAGTCATAGCAGTGGGGGTTTACATTGACGTCTCCAGCAGACACGCCCCTTCCAACAGAGCGTTCAAATCAGAAAGAAAATGATTATATATATATTTTATGACCGTTTTTGTTGAAAAAAAAAAACTACGATTATAAGTGCACATCAGAAAACATTATAAAATAATTAAAATCATGTATTTCATGACCTCTTTAAAGAGAACAGTGCCTTAGAGCATTACTGAGCAAGCTGATAGGAGAAAATGTTCCTATACTAGTACTCAACTGTTCTTGAAGGCATACTTTTTAAACAAAGCTATATACAGATTTGGTTTTACTGTTAAAAGCAAGGGATGTCAATAGAATAAAAAATCTGATTTATTATTTTTCTCATGATTTTTACCAGTAGTGCAATGACTCAAAGTAGTTTGAAATTCAGTTAATTTATAAAATTTTTGCGTTAAAGCATAACATAATTTTTTCAAGTTAATATGGTAACTTTTGACATTTCTGTATGAAAATAAATGTTCCTCATTGCTATTGTGATATTAACCTGTTCACTCCTCTGCAGTGATGAGTATGGGGCATGTAATGTATCCCAAAATGCAGTGCTGTTGATGGAAGCCCACGTTCACCTTACCATCGGCTTGCAGTCAAGAGAGAGACTTCTGCTGCTTTTCACAGATTCGCTTATCATCGCCAAAACTAAGTATGTTAACATTTCAGTGAGTGTGAATACGTGTAAAATGTAAGACATCTGTCTCTCTAAGAGTGCATGTGTATGCAATGTGTGCATTATATGTTACAGGTCTCTGTATCTAAAGCTGAAGGCTCGTGTTAGCCTCCCAGACATATGGCTGGCATCCTGTGTTCATTTCATCACAGACAGGAAGCTCACCACCAAGAACTCATTTGTGATTGGCTGGCCGGCTACCAACTATGTCGTCACTTACAGGTAGTCTATGAAAAACTATTTAAATGACGTAAACATCTGAGATCTTGGCAAACCAAACCAGACTGATATGGTCACTGAATGTCATTCAGACAAATAGCACTGAAAAATTCTAAACTGTTTATGAGTTTGAGATGAAGCAGCCCTTCTTAAAAAAAAAAAAGAACTATTCTGCAGTGGAAGGAATAATAGATGTGTTTAAGCTTTAGGCGCTTCCAGTGTGCTGAGATCCACCCACTCAGCTGCTACTGACTTGATCTTAAAAAACTTTGTGATAAGGTGCAAATTTTAAATTCTCATGTGAAGTTTAGATTATCTGGTATAAATGCATGCACACATTCTTTTTCAAGCTCAGCTCAGCACTCCAGACAAATAGCACTGAAAAATTCTAAACTGTTTATGAGTTTGAGATGAAGCAGCCCTTCTTAAAAAAAAAAAGAACTATTTTGCAGTGGAAGGAATAATAGATGTGTTTAAGCTTTAGGCGCTTCCAGTGTGCTGAGATCCACCCACTCAGCTGCTACTGACTTGATCTTAAAAAACTTTGTGATAAGGTGCACATTTTAAATTCTCATGTGAAGTTTAGATTATCTGGTATAAATGCATGCACACATTCTTTTTCAAGCTCAGCTCAGCACTTTGTCCTTCACAGTGCTGATTCGACTCCTTATTAACCTAATTTTAAGTCCTTCATTAGACGTATTGTTGTAGAGATAAAGGTAGGTCAAAAACCTTGAAATGGAAAGCACACAGTATGCTGCAAATTACAGGATTTTTTTTTTTTTTGACTGAGTATGATATTAGTTATTTAATATCACAAAGACAGTTTTGACCTTTGAGTTTTGATCAATGCAGTGATGACCTTTTCATGTTGGTGACAGATTTTTAAAAATAACACTGTAACACCTGTCATCTTCTGTTCATCATGAAACTAATGTGAAAAATATTGGACAGGAAATGTGCAAGATGAAGGTGTTTAGAAAGTCTCAAGTGCATTTGTCTTACAATCTCACCGTGACATCTAAAGCCCATAATATAAGGTTTTAACCTCTTCAAAAGGAAGTCGTAACAAAATTCAGTGGGATCATCTGCATCTGTGGTCCTCACGATTCTAGCATTCGTATTAAATCTAGAATGTGACTTAATGTGTAAACAACAAGTTGTTTTGTTTTGTGTAATATGCAATATTACACACATTTTTGTTATGCATCTCATATGAAGTTTACATAAGTTTCGTGGGTAAGAATAGTAGATACATTAGGTAAATGTGACTGCTGTGTCCACAGATGAGACAGCAAGTTTTATAAGGCTGAGAGCAGAGAAAGAACATACATACACACAATATACAAAGGAAATTTAAAAACTACAAAATGCATATTTATGCAATAATAGATTCATGTTGTAAGAACAGCTAATGGGGTGATGGACACAGCGCTGCATTATCATGGTAACGTTCTAGGTGAAGATAATTAGGAAATTACATTGTCATTCATTGCTCCTTTTGCCAAGTGTGGTCCAAGCTATATTATGAGACACATTTGCCCTGCTCCTTCCAAAGTCTTCACTTCAAGCGCTTTGCCCTTTGAAGTGAGTAGGGTATAGGGATGGTCACATCCGATTGAAATTCACCCATAAATCCACAAATGCATGCAACAAATCCACACACAAATGTAATTAGCAAATGCACTGAATCAACTGAAACTGTATGCACTGTATATCAATTCACCAGTACAATATAGAACAGATGTCTAACTACAAAAGTGAGGAGAAATGTTTTTTTGAAAGGTGACATTATGAAGTACTTTGCAAGAATAAATGGAGCTGGAAAGGTCAGCTCAGGTGAGAGAGAAAAGAGACTGCATTTTACATTCTATGACAGATACACATGCTTTCAAAAGCAAATTACAAACAAGAAGTATATCATGCTGGCTCACTTCTGCTTTTAGGACTGTATGAGGAGTGTTGTTTTCTGCCTATTGGCATGTAAATAGTGTCTTCTGGTTTGGTTAATTGTTTTGGTCATAGTTTTGCCAGTGTGCTGTTTAATATATGCACTACTTAGCAGGTAAATGTCAAGCACTTTGTAAATGGATAATTGAAATGAAATCTAACATATTCTCTCTCTCTCTCTCTCACACTCACTCTACACCTGTTCTCCCAAACCTAAGCTCATCAGAAACAAAGGAGAGATGGTTACATGCTCTTCACTGGTAAGGAAACAAAACACAAATCAAAAGCTCACGTCAACTTCATATAATATATCAAAATTTTGCAAGCTGCATCTTTCAAAACTGAGGTTTTCCTTCTGTGATTTCTTTTGTCAATTTTCTTGACTTTCCATGCCTTTGTATTTGTGTCTATCTTTCTTATTTGTTGTTGTTTGCTTGTAATAATGTTTCATTCTTCAGGCACACCAGCAGAGCCAGGCAAAAAGTCTTGCCAAATGCCATTCTTCTCTACGTCCTGCTGATTTGCCATCCAGATGACAACAGCTCAGAGGTACACAAGTGTCTTTTTAGTTTAATTTGGACTTGAGCTACTCCCTGTCCTCCGGGAACTAAATTCATGTCTCTGTTTATAAGTGGAAGTTATTTGTACTCTAGCCTGAAGCTTTTCATTGTGAGTTGATGGTCAATGTTGTGGTTTGTTTACATTCTATTGGCTGTTAAGACCGTTGCTGTGGCAGTGGACGTGAGCACGACCACAGAAAATGTGGTTCAGTACATCATGCAGCAGTGCAAACTATTGGTAAGTGATCCTTAATAGCTTCTTGTTGAGTGTAGTGTAATACAAACTATTTATCCTCTTTAAAGCACTGCTGAGTACAAGGGAGTGGTCCAAATGAGAGAGACATGCTTTTTCTTTGCACCCGATTTCACTACCTACCCATCTGAGGCAATATGCTTCTATAATTTTGTGCACATCATTCTGTTGCTCTAACCAGTAACTCTACAATGTGCCAAGTTTGTCCACTGGCATTTCCTGTGTTTGATAACAGCCACTTCCTCTTTCCTGTCTCTTTCCAAAACATAATGACCATTTCCTGTGTGCAGGGTGAAGTCTCGGACTACCAGCTGTGTGTAAACTATGAAAAAGAAGAGGAAACATACCCCCTTATTGGTGATGACACACACACACACACACACACACACACACACACACACACACACACACACACACACACACACACACACACACA